AAATGGAAATATCTGACAACAAGCAGTTAGCATACGGAATATAACAGAGACAAGAAGTGATGATGACCGTGCTCAAACGAGCTTACAATCTATGAATATATTGCAAAATTAATCATAAAAAAAGTTATCAATGTCCTAAAATATGTGGTTGTTTCCCATTAGATTGTTCCAAGACAGATATGTTAGTTGTGCAATATCAACTGTTGAGATGCACAGAACACGATATGATGCAGATAAGCTATAGACACCTTTCTCCCCTAGTGGTCAGTAGAATCCCAATGCACCTGTGATGGACCTGACTCTATTAATTAAAAAAAAACAAAAAAAAAAACAGTTCATCGAAGAAGGCAAAGATTGTCAAGTAAGATTGCCAAGTAAGCAGGGGAAGTATACATTTCCTTCTTCGCAGATGTAAAGTGCAATCTTCGCACAGATACCAGCTCGCATGCAACAGTTTGGTTATAAACCTCAATGAGAAACAATTACTTTTTTATTTTACCATTCAGAAAATTGCACAGTAAATGTATTTCCTAAACCTCACATCTGTTGAAGGTTTCTTAATATGGGTGCTGTCCTTTATAGATACACCGTTATCAACTACCAAAACCTCTGAACTATCACATTGGCAGTTGCAAAAAGATAAAATTATATAACAGACATTTATTATTTCTTCAGTTTAATTAAGAAACTTTTTTTGCCTTTATTTAACTCCATCAGGTTTATTTACCTCACATTAGGACCCTGAATCAGAGGACCAGTGCAATGATTATTACTACCCGAGGGAAAAATCCTGTTTGCTCCCCTTATGTTTCCTTCATATCTCTTTAGTCTTTTTCCATTTATTTTGGCTCCCTGATGTCACCCTCATCCTGACTTTCTATTCATTATTTTGACTAGTCTTCTAACCCTGTTTCACTTTGTACTAACCCAGTTTCTACCATTTTATTTTTGACCAGTATCCTTTCTCTGTAACTATTCCCTAGTTTTTGGACATTGATAACTTTTTAATGATTCTTTTTGCAATATATTAATAGATTGTAAACGGGGTCTTCTTCACCACTCTTGTCTCTGTTATATTACATATGTCAATTTCTTCTTGTCAAACATCCCCATTTTACAATTGTAACGTTCTGCAGAATATGTTGTCGCTATATAAATAATAATACTGATAATAATATAATAAAAATATAACATAAAAGGTTACTAAGTGGAAATTTTTTAACTCATAAGGTATTAATAATGGGTGAGGAGATTTTAGCAACTAATGTGTAATGTATTTTTAGGCTAGAATAAGTTCCCTTTTTTCTAACTAGTTTCAATTTCTTTTAAAGAGCAATTATAGGGAAACCAGGGTAACAGAAGACCCACTGAATTTGTTACGTTTATTATTATCTTAATGATACAATTTATAACTATTAATAATTTATAAAATAATTAATATTGGACTTAAAAAATTAATATTGGACTTTCCTATCCCAGAGATCTTAATGATACTCTCATTCTGTGATCAAGGCTGAATATTCACCAATCAACCAGTCCTTACTGATCTTGGGTCGATGTGGTTTTGCTGAGGATGCCTGTGAGTGAGAGGTGTTCTGTGAGGGACCTGTGTGAATAGTATGTGTGTGGCTGAATAAGTGATGGTAGTTGGGTGTGTGGGGGTGATTTCCTGGGTGTGATGGGAGTTGTGGTTGTTGTGTTAGTGGGGAAGGCTACACATGCGTGATGAGAGGTCTTTGTGATTGCATTTGTGATGGATGTTTGTCTTTGGTGTTCTGTATATGTGTGTGCTGAAACTTGTTTTTGGTGAGGTGGTTTGTAGCATTGTGCGTGTTTTTGTGTAGGGTATTTCATGTCAGCTTGCTTTAATCCCTTTTTGTTAGTAATAATAACAAAAAGTTAGGTTTCATCAGGATTGACCCAATACAATGTATTGGTGCCCCATCCAACCCCGTGCATGTGGACCCTATGATAATGAACATTCAAAAATAAACCATTATAAGGATTATTATGCATTTACACTCTTTGGTTAAAAAAACAACAACACTCCATTATTTAAATTGTGGTTAAAGTGGCATTACACATTAATTAAAATAATTTTGGGGTAAGACACAAGCATGTACCTTTGCAGTGATGTACTGTGTTACTGACTAACTGTGTGTGTTAATCAGTCTGCCACTCTGGGACATTGTAATGCTGTAAGTCTTTCCTGTGATGTTGGTAAAAGGTATTTAGATAGTTACATACATTGTTACATAGGTGTGAAAAGAGAATGATAAAGTGAAACAAACAGTTTGAAGTTCTTCTTAATCCAAGTTAGGAATTTATATTATTATTATTTATTTAGCTCCAACAAATTCTGCAGCATTTTACAATGGGTGGACAAACAAACATGTAGTTGTAACCAGACAAGTTGGACACACAGGAACAGAGGGGTTGAGGGCCCTGCTCAATGAGCTTACATGCTAGAGGGAGTGGGGTAAAATGACACAAAAAAAGGTAAGGATAGTATTAGAGAAGTAGATTGGTAGAATAGTACTTCACACTCAAACTCAGTAAAGCACTGCATTTTACATCCTGCAGAAAATCCTACCACTCTCAGGCCTCACTTCACACTCACACTCAGTGAAGCACTGCATTTTACATCCTGCAGAAAATCCTACCACTCTCAGGCCTCACTTCACACTCAAACTCAGTGAAGATCTGCATTTTACATCCTGCAGAAAATCCTACCACTCTCAGGCCTCACTTCACACTCAAACTCAGTGAAGCTGCATTTTACATCCTGCAGAAAATCCTACCACTCTCAGGTACTGACTGAATCTTGGAAGATACTACACCTCATTTATTCTTGGAAAGCTACCATATTATCATGTGTTACTATAGACTTGTTACCATTTATACATGTAGTTTGCCACTGTAATTTTCTGTACATGCAGTTTGTACTATTGTCATTTAATGTTTCTGACCAATATTTCATGTACACAGTTATTAATATTTTGGGTGATAGAATTTGGTTACTTTTCAATAGTATATAACACATGGCTACTCTACCCTCCTCTACCCTTCTACTTCTGGTGACTATAATATCCTTTTAATGTAATCTTCTTTTAAAAACAAAACAAAAAGACTAGTTTAGTAAATGTGGAGTCACTGACTAGCTGAGAAAGTCAACTGACCGCTCTCAGCCAATATGCAGTACCCCTGCTGGATGGTACTCTGTGCTTCCAGAATCTTAAAATTCAGAAGCTGGATGCTGCCTGGTGGGGAGAGGACATCACAGCTGGAGGCAACTTTGTGGTTAAACCATTCGAGAACGGTTTAACCCCTTGAGGTGAGTGCCTTCTAGCACTATAACTTCATTTAGATTAAGTTGTTTTGGTGCCTGAAGTGTCCCTTTAAATAATGCAATATTTAAGCATAGTGAAACAAAAATACATTAAAACGTTACTTTCCAAACCACTTGGTAGTGAAGGGGTGAAAAATTATTTAAAAAAATGATTAGATCTTCACTTGCTACCCAGGGCAATTAACTGCTGAGGTAACCATGCCACAGCAATCAGATGCCAACTACAAATTAAATTATGCATGTTTCCATTGGGTGTATATCTACTAAACATCTTATTTAGAGTCTTGTTAGTAGTGGGACATACACGGTCTTTGTATTTATTACCAAAAATGAAACTTGTGAGAAAAACACAAACTATATATATATATATATAAAAAAAAAAAATAATCAGCAACTATGTATGGGTTGGTGATGAAATTATTAAACGAAATCTTTCCAATACTCATAATGAAAATATATTCTGCACTATTTGTCCTTTAAAATATATGTGTGGGAGCACTTAAATAAAAATTGTTAAATTACTATAAGATTAACGCACAGCTATGTACCTTTTCAGCCACAAACAGAAGGAATCTGGAAAAACCTTGGTTGTGAAGGGGTTTAAATATTTTTGGTATCCTGAACTGCAAAGCGTATACACAATTGCAGTAGTATTTATTTTTAATATTACTGATCACGTGCTAAATATGTTTTCTTTTATTTAGTATTTCAAAGAGTTTTTTGTTGTTTTATTTAAACATAAATCCATACACATTTGTGCACATAGCATCGATTCTCTGGTATATTTCTTTCTTCATTATTATTATTTTACAATAAGGCAGAGATGGCTTCCGGAGGGAGTCTAAAATGCCTACATTTCTTGGAATGCTGACAAGTCCCATAGAACATATGTGATGGAGAACACACTTTTTCAGTTGAACGTCAACCCATTTTGAAATTGAGAAGTTTTCTTTATAGTGTAACTAATGGGTTGGTGGCAGAAACATAAATCACAGTCTATTATATATGAAATCATAACTCAAAGAACCATGCTTATACATAAACTGTAAAATAAATCACACATTACGGCCTCTTATATATGAGCTTATAAATGAACTGCATACGATTTGACTTGTCTTCCACCTGGGAATAAAGGTGCATATCATGGTATTTATCAAGAACTCTGTAGGATGATGTCTTGAAGGAAAAAATATTTTTTATAAATATATATACATACACACATACGGTTCAATTTATTAGAACTTAACCTGTTTACAGCAAAGTTACACCAGAAAAAAGCTATTTGCCAACTGTTTGCCAATATGCCACATAGTAACAGTTTCCAACTGGCGCAAAACCACTGTCGAGAATCAAGGAAACACAGGGTCCTTTACACTATCTTCCAAGCTATAGACTATGGGGTGAAAAGAAATGATTGGGCCCAAAGGATGCGCAGTCTTCTAACCCCATTAATATTAAGGCCAGAGGGTTCTAAATCTAGTGGCCTTGTATGGTTAATACGGACAGGTCGTAAAGCTACCACATCCTTCCTGCCTGCCGGGTCTCCAAGCCCCTCATCACTCCCTGTAAAAACCATAGGACACAAACAGAAAAAAAAATAGTTACTTGATTGAAGATTTTCAATCTTCTTTCTTCATCTATAAAACAGGCCCACAAATCCTTATAACTCCATTGAGGCAGTTCATCTCTCACCCTTCTGCAATGTCATTGAGAAGACATGGCTTCCTCTGGTTAATCCAATGTGCCTCGTAGAGGACCTGAAATGGAGCTCATCATGCTTGATGAGCTGTTGTGACATCACGTCAGTGCAGTGGAAGCGTCTCTGGCGGCTGTAAGTATGACAACCAATAGAGGTGTGTAGAACCCTTCAAGGTAAGCATAGGCATTTCTGCAAAACAGCAAAGTTTTGTTTTAAAGGGTTAAACACAGAGAAATACAACACCCAGACCACGTCATTGAGGTCCTTTTTAACTTTCTAACACTTTGCCCTGGGATTTACTAGAGGTAACAGGCATATCAGGGCAATAAGTATAAATCAAATTTTCTTCAACATAAACCAAAACCTTATAGTTTTTATGAAAGATGTACCTCAAATGCAAACATTCCATTCAATAGACACTGGAATACTTGAACTCACTGGAATTAACATATATTTAGCATGTTTGAGAAAATGTGGTCTATAACAGTAAGGGGGTATTATAGTACAATGGGAAGACTCAAAACACCTAAAGATTATTTTTTTTTCATATTTTTTTTTTTTTATTAACTTTCTTACACACAGTTAATAGATTTGCAAAATAACCACAGAAAATTACTAAACTCAAATTAGCAGGAATAAAAACAAGAGGAACCAAATGTATAATTTAAAATATTTACACACTGGTTTGGTTATAAACCCAGTTTTTCTGGTTAAGTGAGTGTTTTATTCCTGACCTTTAACTTACCTTATTCCTCTTGTCTCCATTAAAGGAATCTCTTGAGTTAAAGCTGTTTAGTTCTGGTGACTTGACCCAAGAGCTTTCACTCACGTTTTGGGAATTGTACTCTTATACGGTCACATTCAACAGCATCATATATACTAGAGATGCAGGTGTCCATGGTTTATATTTTATAAAATATGGTATATTTTATTTGTGAAATGCAAATAAATATATTATTTTAGACAGTACTGAAGAGTAAAAAAAAAAAATTCAGAAGAAAACTAAAATAAGTGGCACACTTTTTCATAATGCATGTGCCTTTTTGCATAAAAAACAATAGTCATTGTGATTTTTCTGTTGTCATAAGTTGTATATTTATATAAGCTCAAATTGAGATGCTAAGTTTGCCTAAATAGCCTACGGAAACCCAAAATCCCACGTTTCTTTAAAAAAATCCTAAATACTTCTCTACAATTAAAAAATCTCAAAAACTTACATTAAACTTGGTACACAAAAAACTTGCAGTGATACACTGACACTTAGAGAGCTAGTTAAATGTTTTTGCCTAGGCAGATCCATGGTTTGAAGTAGGCATGTTAAGTAGGTGCAGGATTTTCTTAGAAAGAGGTTGTGAATGTGAAAGAGTGGTGAAAGATATGGAATGTAAAGGTATAAACAGCTGTCCGGTTACCTGTTCATAAATAGGACTGTCCAATTTAGACATGAAAGGAATATGCATCACTTTGCCTTTAAAAAGCTTTGATTAAGACAGCTGCCTCATTCTGTAAGCCAAAAAAAAAAAACAGTTAATTTTTATTTTTTTCATATTTAAATGCCTCTTCTTTCTCATGCTTTCTACACCCACCTCAGGGTGGACACTTATCTAATCAGTGAGTGTTCTATCCCTAGGAATGTTAAAAAAGTGCTTTGGCTATGCCTGACATATTTACACACATGTAGTTGGAAGATCTTTTCACCTTGCAGCATCCTGACAGGGGGAGAAGAGAGGGAGCCTGCTGCATGCAGAGCTGGCTCTGTCGTCAGTTTTCTCTCTCTTGCTGTTGCACAATTATGTCCTGTTTCTATCATCGGCAGACTGGTCTGAAACCGAGGTTGGGTAATAGGTGAAGCTGAAGAAACTTCCCTAGTCAAGAGACATGCCCAACAATGCAACCTGACCAAATTTATAAATGTTTATTACATACCTTTCCAAGCTTTATTTACTTTGTATATTTGTTTAAATAGTGTTTGTTGGTTTAAAATGGAAGAAAGGAGATTTCATCTACAGTAGATGAAATTTTTTTTTTTTTTTTTTTTACTGAAAGAGCAATGCCGAATTCTAAACAGGTTGTATTATAAGATTCTGCGTGGATTGTTAAACATCATCTGGATGTTTTTTGGGAAAAACAGAATGTTCAAGCATATAATAGTCAATATGTGGGATCAGGGGCGTTTTAGCCGCGAGGCAAACAAGGCATTTGCCTTGGGCGGCATTTTTCAGGGGGCGGCAAAAAACGCCGCCCCCCAAATGCCCAGGGCAAATGCCTAGTTAGCCTCGCGGCTAACTGACATCCCGAGCGGGCGGGCGGCGCTGGCAGGCGGGCAGCCGGCGAGGGAGCACTTCCCATGAGCTGACTGCTCAGCTCCCTTGCGCACCGCAAAGTGAGGCTGGGAGCCGGAAGATGACGTCATCTTCCGGTTCCCAGCCTCACTCTGCAGCCGACGCGCGAGGGAGCTGAGCAGTCAGCTCATGGGAAGTGCTCCCTCGCCGACCGCCCGCCTGCCAGCGCCGCACGCCCTGCAGCCACTGGACCACCAGGGAGAGAGACCTCTCACCCCAGCACTCCCAAAGGTAAGGAGGTTGGGGGGGGATTTAAATTAAAAAAAAAGTTAATGTGTGTGTGTTTGTGTCTGACTGTGTGTGTGTTTGTGAGTGTGTGTGTTTGTGTCTGTGTCTGACTGTGTGTGTGTGTTGTGTGTCTGACTGTGTTTGTGTCTGTGTATGTGTCTGACTGTGTGTGTGTGTATGTGACTGTGTGTGTCTGTGTGTGTTTGTGTGTGTGTGTGTGTCTGACTGTGTGTGTGTGTGTGTGTGTCTGACTGTGTATGTGTGTGTGTTTGTGTCTGACTGTGTCTGTGTATGTGTCTGACTGTGTGTGTGTGTGTGTGTGTGTTTGTGTATGTGTCTGACTGTGTGCTGACTGTGTATGTGCGTTTGTGTCTGACTGTGTCTGTGTATGTGTCTGACTGTGTGTGTGTGTGTGTTTGTGTATGTGTCTGACTGTGTGTGTGTGTGTGTGTGTGTGTGTGTGTGTGTCTGTCTGTGTGTGTGTGTGTTTGTGTCTGACTGTGTGTGTGTGTATTTAGAAGGTGGGGCGAGGGGAAGGGTTGGGTGGGGGTGGCGCCTGAGTTTTGTCCTGCCTAGGGCAGCACAAAACCAGGATACACCACTGTGTGGGATAACATCATGTTAAACCAAGGTCCAAGGTCCAAGGTCCAGGTCTAAACTGATAGACCATTAACAGGTATAGGTGTTTCTAATTGCTCATTTTAGTGGGTGTATTATCTAGACAAAGAATTAGTTCAAGACAGTTAACAGTATGTAGCAGAACTTAAGGAAAATAAAAAAAAAAAAAACTCAGAAAATAAAAATGCAGTCCCCAGTCCTCCAAAACAAGTGGTTCTGAAAAAAATATATACATAAAATGATACTCCCTACTGTTCAGTTAACATGGTTGCCTACTTGAGGTAAATGCTTACTCCATCCACCGCAGACTTTAATGACTTACAAGTCTGCTACAGATCATGGCTACAGAGGCTAGAATCTTTTTGCAAGCAGCCACAAACTTAAACTAATTGTACACACTGTTTCACTGACCAGGTGACATAGGAAGGATAAATTAAATGACATCTTTAAGTTTGCCTTTTAATTTCCACATGTATGATGGAGAATCATGATTTACTCCATTGATTCAATGTATATGTTTATGCATGACCCTTTAAAAATGTTGCTACACATTGAAACACAGTTGAATATCTCAGTATCTTTTTTTACAGCAGTGCAATAAAGAAACTACTAAGCACAGTCATCTATTTTTTATTGCAATGCGAAATATTGAAAGTAAAAGTAACACTTTAAATAGCGTTGCTATTAAACGCCCACCGTGTCTTTAACAATACCATCAGAACTGAAAAAAATCCATTAAGTAAGCATTCTAGGTGAGTTTCAGAATTATATGATCTTATGACATAATATTAACACTTACGATTACGAGAAGTGATCATAACAGAATAATACTCATTATTGTATTCATGTGTTCTATTCACATCCTTTAAACCCACATCTTCACCACCTTCTCTAGGTCCATAACTTCACAAACCAAACCCTCTTGATCTCTTACTGCCTCTTATGCATTTGATCATCTAATATGTATTTCTACTTTGGGTCCATCATAACATAATGTAATATATATGTATATTTCCTGGCTAATAATGGCATAATATACACATGGGTTAGCTCCTCCCCTTAGAGCCGATAGGACAGGAATAAAACAAAAACCTTTAAAAGGAGTATGCCTGCATAGGTCCATCAGTCTTTTTCCTGTCCTACAGCCCTTAGGATGTGATCATGTTTGCTCCCTTTACTCAAGGACATGTATGTTTTTTCTCTTCATTACTTTATTTGTTTTTTTTTACAGTGCTTTATATTAGGGTGCCTTTATACTGTGGTGTTTTTATACTATGGTACTTTTACACTGTGATTCCTTTAAACTGTTGTGCATTATGCAGCTGTGCCTTAAGCTGTACTATCTTTAACCCCTTCCCAACCGAGGACGGTTCAGGACCGTCATCGGCATTTTTGGCTTGCCGACCGATGACGGTCCTGAACCGTCCTAACGGTCTGAGCTACTTACCTGATCACCGTCGTTCCCCCGGCGGTGATCGGCGGTGCTCCCGGTGTGGGGAGACTGCCTGCAGCCCAGACAGTCTCCCCACACTGAATTAGGACCCCTGTGGCCATGTGATCGCTTAACACAGTGATCACATGGTCACAATAGGTGTCCATAGTGCTGCCTGCAGGGGGACTGTCTGTGCTGACAGGCAGTCTCCCTGCTAGTGTAAAATCAAAAAAAAAAATAAAGTTAGTGTTAATTAAAAAAATAATAATAATTATATATGTGTATATATGATATATAGACATATATTATATCTACATAATATATGTCTATATATCATATATATAATGCCATACTAAGTGTATTTTTATATTAATATGTACTTATATTAATATAAAAATACACTTATAATTAAATTACACACGTATATATATAATATATATAATAACTATATATATTGTATATATATATTATTATAAAATATAAATAATAAGTAATTTAAATTAAATAATTTTTTTTTAAATAATAATAAAAAATTTTAAAAAAATTATATAGCTATATGAAATTTTATTCTAACTGTATTTTAAAATTAATATATATATATATATATTTATATCAAAATACACTTAGAATGAATTTGTATATATATCTATGTATATATAAATAAATAAAAATAATACGAAATATACAATTTGTATATATATCTATGTATATATAAATAAATAAAAATAATACAAAATATTCATATGTCCATATACAAAATTACATAAATAATTATATAAATATACAGGTAGACTTAAACTATATAAATATGCATATATATTTAAATTCTACGTGCGTATTTATGTAATATTTTTACGTAATTCAGTAATTTTATTGATTGCAATTTGAGAGACCTGCCTGCCAACCCAGGCCGAAATTCCAGAGAATTTTATTTGCTAGCACTGTATTTTACCCTGTAACGTTCTACGACACCCTAAAACCTGTACATGGGGGGTACTGTTTTACTCGGGAGACTTCGCTGAACACAAATATTAGTGATTCAAAACAGTAAAACATATCACAGCGATGATATTGTCAGTGAAAGTAACTTTTTTTGCATTTTTCACACACAAACAGCACTTTTACTGATGATATAATTGTTGTGATACGTTTTCCAGTTTTTAAACACTAATATTTGTGTTCAGCGATGTCTTCCGAGTAAAACAGTACCCCCCATGTACAGGTTTTATAGCATTTTTGAAAGTTACAAGGTCAAATATATGGGTCAAATATTTTTACATTGAAAATGGCCAGGTTGGTTACGTTGTCTTTGAGAGCGTATGGTAGCCCAGGAATGAGAATTACCCCCATGATGGCATACCATTTGCAAAAGAAGACAACCCAAGGTATTGCAAATGGGGTATGTCCAGTCTTTTAGTAACCACTTGGTCACAAACACTGGCCAAAATTAGCGTTCAATTTAGTTTTTTTACTTTTTTCACACACAAACAAATATGAATGCTTACTTGGCCAGTGTTTTCGACTAAGTGGCTACTAAAAAAGACTGGACATACCCCATATTGAATACCCTGGGTTGTCTACTTTAAAAAAAATATGTACATGTGGGGTGTTATTCAGAGATTTATGATAGATAATAGTAATATATCGTTTCCGTTGATAATTTTAAATGTATAGCTTGAAATCAGCATTTACTTAGTTTATAGTTTCCTATAACATGCAAAGAAGCAATAGGTATTTTAACCAGAATTGTACTTTGAATGATATTATCTCTGCTTTTGTATATGTTGATTTTTACTTGAAAAATCTTTTACTCATCTACAAAAAGCGAATGAAAAACTGCTAAATAGATTCAAAATTTTGTCCTGAGTTTAAAAATACCCCTGTAAGCGTAAGCTTTTTTTGCATGTTATAGGGCTATAGGTACAAGTAGGATGTTGTATTGCGTTTCAAAACATACATTTTTAAAATTTATCAATAGTGACATTGTAACACTATTGCACTTGGGTCATAAAATCTCTGAATAACAAAGGCTTTTTTCTTTTAATTTTTCAACATCATATTTTTATTTTTCTTTAAAATTTCTGAAATACATGAGATTATATAAATAATGGTATGTAAAGAAAGCCCTCTTTGTCCTGAAAAAAACAATATATAATTTGTATGGGAACAGTAAACGAGAAAGCGGAAAATTACAGCCAAACACAAACACCACAAAAGTGTAAAAATATGCCTGGTCGCAAATGTACAACATCGCAAAAACAGTCCAGTCCTTAAGGCGTTAAACTGTGGTGCATTATGCAGCTGTGCCTTTACTGCCTTATGCAGTGATGCCTTTTATACTAAGATGCCTTTAACTTTGGTTATTTTTTGCACCTTGTTGCCTTTTTATCACCTTGCAGGCACTTTTACTTTATGCTCGGTCCCGGAGATTTATTACCGGTTCCCTGGGTGTTCAGGGGCCATGTACGCTGCAGGCCTAGCTCTCTCCCCGGTCTCTAGCCAGCAAATGCACTTGGAAGACACCCGCGCATGTGCAGTTTGTGCCATAAAGGCCCAATACCGATGACTTGCATTATGGGAATACAGATTGCGGCAGCCCTCTTGGATTAGGGCAATTGCCAGAAAGTACCTAAAATGGAGGGAAAATTACTGTAAACATCCCAAACTTATTTGGAAATTATTTGCAGGTTCTCCAGACATGGGTGAGAATCTGTTTGACTGTTTTCGTGGTTATAGAATTTGACAGTGCCCTTTTGTACTTTTATACTTCGCCACATGTAATTTTATTTTTGTTTATGTTATGTCTGAATATACACCATGTTCTGATTGTGATGGAAATGCAGTGGTAGGAAATGTATTGCCTGTCTTCAGAAGGTAACCTCTTCAGCTTCACCTATAGCTGCACAGCCACAGGACATGCTGTCATAGCTTACAAAGGAAGTTGCAATATGTTTTCTGAATCTACACCATGTCTTGGTTCTGATGAGAAAGCAGTGTAAGAAAAACAGTTATGCTCTGAATGTGTCCATAAGGTAGCTGCTTCAGCATCACCCATGCCGGCGCAACCACATGACAGGTGGGATGATGCTACCGCTTGACAAATCAACTTTTTTTTTACGCA